ACGTGTCAGGATTAATCCGGCTTATAACACTTTCGTAAGGCTTGTCTTCTTTTTAGTGTGGTTCCTCTTTCAGCTCCTACTGTGATTTAGGTGAAAATTTTTTACCTAAGCAGCGGGACCCAAATTCCTGAACCGGCCTAAGCCTGTCATGTCATTCGCAATGATGAAAGGGATAAATCTACCAAAGGCGCGAGACGAACGAATGGACGGTTAATTTCAGGGAGCGTGGGGAAGATAAGAACAGATTCGGGGAAGTCTAAGAAGTCTGACTGCCCAACTTTAGAGTTCGTTGGCGAGGACACGTTGATAGTCTTTTCTTCCACTTGGAATGATCGGCAAGGTAAACGAAATAGACCCTTCCACGGTTTTTTTCAACTTTTGACATGGACAAGTTAGGGAAAATCCGTCGACACCACTGGAAAAAAGCGACTCAAAATTAGTAAAAATAAAAATTTCCAAGTTTGGAAGTAATTTGTTAAAAAAAAAAACACGAAAATAATTATAGCTCCTCAAAGTCACGAAATTTTGCGGACGTTTGTATGGTGGAGGGTACAAACTTGCCCCCCACCATACAACTTTGGTTAACTATATCTTCGCTCGCTTAAGACGTAGCGCTTTCAAATTTGGCAATTTTACTAATTTTATAAAGGCGCTCTTTTCAGTGGTATGGCGAAGGATTTTTCCAAACCGGCTCATGTCAAAGGGTCTATTTAGTAAAGGGCAATGTCAGGGTAAAGAGATCCGTTATCTTAAATTCGCTGCTATCAACTACATCAGACATCGTGGCATTTCATTAAAATACTTTATTGATAAAGAAGGAGATTAAACTCCAGGTTTTGAATAAAAGAAATGCTTGGTTTCTTGCCTGGTGCCGTCTCTCTTAAGGGTTTGCATGATCGTGTTATTTTTACTTAGAATAAAGTGAAATTACGAATAAGAAAAGTAAGGGTTTCACACGTGATGAAGGATTCAGGCAGTGGCACTTTCTTCACTACCAGTTTCTTCCATCGGTTCCACTCCAGCTCCTATCAAAATTAAAGAAAAGGAAAAAAAAGTAGTTACTTACGGTGTAACTTAATTGAGCAATACATTATTTTAACCTATGCTACATTTCCATCCTTGCTCAAAAGTCAGTTGACATCAGCCATAAACATTTAAAATTAAAATTCATGTGCAACACTTGCACATCAAAAGGCAATCAACGAACTCTTCTATGTAGCTTGTTCTGGTAAGCTTCTCTTTGTCATAAAATATCATATTTATGTCTAGAAATCCTGAAGTTTTTGACACCGCCTCCAGGCGTCTAGTTTGTGTTGCTTTCTGTACCCTGTGAGCCACTGTGAGTAAGCCCTCTCGTTGCGTTAACTCCCTAACTCATACTCGTAATGCTTTTCCGTTTGTCAAACACGAGAGAAAACTCGTCAAGTGTAATAATCGTACCGCAGTAGTTTACAAATGGAAGATGAAAATAAATAGAATATATTAGAAATATTCGAAATAGATAAAAATTACCTTGACTGAATTCTTTCAGGTCAACGTAATCTAGGTCTGCACAGTCAACCACTGTTTGTCCAGATTCTCTTGTTTTGAATACCCAAGGCAGAGTGCGGGTGGCACCGTCGAGATTGTCGCACATGACTCTAGCCATAGTAACTTTTCTTATTTCATCCAGCTGTTTGATCGTAAAGGCGGTCAAGTGGTCATCTCTCTCGTACCAAAAGCGATCACCTTCGCGGAACTTTTGCATCTGCTTTAGTATAAGATGGGTATTTACGGGTCCAAGCTGGCTTCCTGGTAAGGGGGTCTCTGCTATGCAGCCGGGAAATACATCAATATCTTTGACATCTTTGTATACTAACTTAAATCTTGCAATCTGCTCTGAAGAGAAACTATCCGAAATGTCATCAAAAGAATTAACAGCTCCCAATCCAACCACTTCTCGATAATGGGCGTAACCTGGTAGGCCATGGTCCCGAGCACGCTGAATGTTGATGGCCATGAGATCGCCAAAGATATTACCTTCAATGACGAGTCGCTCGCGCACAGCGTTCACAAAGATACTATAAAAGGAATGAGATTCTATTAGAGAAATCATTTTTCTAATACGTAAGCGTCTACATTAAGGAAGGAGAAGTTGTCTACAAACAATGACTCAGTCAAGAAAGTTACATGGCCATCTGGGGACTAAAAATAATTTTGTCCGATACTCAGTTCAGTGCTTGTTGAAGCTGATTTAACAAGAAAATGTAAACTTAAGAACGTTACTCGATGCTGTCAACATCATTATCAAGAGTGTGAACTGTCAAGTTTCAAAGTTGTTAAAAGAGGTGTAGTTTGAATAAATTAGATTGCATTCGTGCGTGATTCATTATTATGGGTGGATTCATTCGCAGCATACGGGTATATACATCGCATTTGCCCGTTTGAATTTTTTATAGTTTTTGAGCTTAAATAAATAAAAAATTCCTGTGGGCAAATGCGACGGGTTTACGCGTATGCTGTAAATAAATTCACCCTATGTAAATGTATTTAATAGAAAAGCTTAGCGTGAATCGAATCCGATTGCATGTTCAGTGATGGTTTGAGTTCGTGCCATAAATAGCATCTCGTAGACAAGGCATTTGAATCATTATTTCTCCATTTTTTGAGGACCGAAAAATTGTCCTTCAGGGTTGGCTTCTCGACCCCATGTTCTTTCACAAGATGTGCCTCCCGATCAAAGAGTTTGAACTTGTGTGATGCGTGGATGTAAGTGTCGATTAGTGAAACCGACTTAATCCATATCACATAGACCACATTAGAATAATTTATGTGTGAAAAGAAGCCCTATCCGGTATAGTTTTCGTGCCTACGCAAGAGCTATAGGTGTGGTGTCAACACAGCGTTAGGTTACACTATACCGGCAATAAAGGGAGTCGTGTAGCGTTCTCATGAAAGGTTAACCACATGAGGCTATTAAGACTGTACGACATAAAAGGGTATGATGGAGTATAAAAGAGCACAACGTTAAGCGGAAAGAATACTACAAAGGATGGGAGTTTGACCTTCAGTGGGGCTGACTGTGAAGACAAAGCTATAACTGCAGTCTTGGTTAAATGGATCCGATATGGTGGGATCAGGAAATGGAGAGGGCAGTAACCACCTTCAGCTCTGTAGACTTTCCTGGCGTGCTGCGTCAGTTAAAATAGTATACTCCTGGAGTTAGAGTCCTAGGGACCTAAATCAAGCCCAGTCTAAATATCATTAAGGGTAAAAGAGCGTTCTACTTACCGATCGGGAGTCTGGGCTTCGATAGATGTTAGCCCGATAAGTATTCTTGTAAAGACGCTTTGTTCATTTTTATTAAAAAACCTTTCTGGTCTAAAGAAGTCAACTGGCTCAGCAAAACGAATGTCTCTAGGCAGGGACCGATCAGATCCTCTAAATCGACTAAAGGTGCCGTCGCCTGCTGTCAAATCAAAAACGGCGCGAATTAAACTGTGACCCATTCTCAGAGCGGATGTAGAGAAAACGTTGGTGCATTGCATATTCACTTCGGGGTCACTGATATCCAGTGAAGAATTTTCCTTTAGGTTCTAAAAGAACATTAAATTCTTTTCTCTGAAAAAGAAATATAAAAACATTTTTAAAATGCGCTCTCTTGTATTAATGCGGGGCAAGGATGACGCAAATAATGTGTGTGCTCTCGCCGATCAGTTATCAGATAAGTGGCCGTTTTTTTTCCAAGTATGGAGGCCCCCTTAGTTTAGACTTAGCTTAAAATGAGTTAGAGCTCAACATACGTGCGCGTTGGGCCAAGCGTTAGAGCAGAAGGAAATTACAAATATGCTGTGCCAATTTTTTTTCGCTTAAGCTGACATTTTAAGCGAGAAAAACCCTTGTTTGGAAAGCATCTTTATTGCAAAACAAGAACTGATTACACGTACATTAAGCTTCGTGTACAAGACTTTGCGACAGGTAAGAATTTCTCTTTTAATCAGTAACCTAAACAAAGAGTTTTTCTTTTTTCTCGGGAAAGTTATATTGTAAAAGCAATAGAAAACTTTTTTCCTGTGTTTGCATAGCCTGATATAAACACTCGAGGGTTTGTTTGACAGTTATGCAAACCCGAGACGACGTCGAGGGTTTGCATAACTCTCTCGAATTCTCCCAACCTCTCGAGTGTTTATATCAGGCTATGCAAACACAGGAAAAAAGCTTTCTATTGCTGAAATATTTCTTGTTTAGAAAAATACTGTTACTTTGCCGTTTACAAGCAATTTATTTGTAAACGTTAAGTTTCACAGTGCATTAACCGGTGAATGTACCGAATTTACGCGAATTATGAGAGCGGAGCTTAATACCATAGTAATACCGCCTAGTACCGTATTTACATGAATAAGCGCCGCGGCGCTAACTACCTTCAACCCCCCCCCCACCTCCAAAAGCGGCGCTTATTTGAGGGCGGCGCTTATTCGAGTAATTACTGTAATTGGCAACTTAAGAGTTTATTACATTTAGGGCAAATTATTATTACATTTAGGACTTTTTTTTACATTTAGGACAAAATGTTATTACATTTAGGACTTTATTACATTTAGGGCCGTTTATTACATTTAGGCCTTCTACAAATGGACTGTTAAATCCAGGGAGCGTGGGGAAGATGTTGACAGATCCGGGGAAGTCTAAGAAGTCTGACTGCCCAACTTTAGAGTTTGTTGGCGAGGACACGTTGATAGTCTTTTCTTCCACTTGGAGTGATGGGTTAGGATAAACGAAATAAACCCTTCCACGGTTTTTTTCAACTTTTGACATGGACAAGTTAGGGAAAATCCGTCGACACCACTGGAAAAAGTGCCTCAAAATTAGTAAAATTTCCAAGTTTGAGAGTGATTTGTTAGAAAAAAAAAAAAAAACGAAAATAATTATAGCTCCTCAAAGTGGCGAAATTTTGCGGACGTTTGTATGTTGGAGGGTACAAACTTGCCTCTGACCATACAACTTGTGGTGTTGACGGATTTTCCCAAACTGGCTCATGTCAAAGGGTGTATTTAGTAAAGGGCGACGTCAGGGTAAACAGATCCGTTTCCTTAAATTCGCCGCTATTAACTACATCAGACTTCGTGGCATTTCATTCAAATACTTTATTGATAAAGCAGGAGATTAAACTCCAGGTTTTGAATAGAAGAAATGCTTGGTTTCTTGCCTGGTGCCGTCTCTCTTAAAGGTTTGCATGATCATCTTATCTTCACTTAGAATAAAGTGAAATTACGAATAAGAAAAGTAAGGGTTTCACACGTGATGAAGGATTCAGGCAGCGGCACTTTCTTCACCACCAGTTTCTTCCATCGGTTCCACCCCAGCTCCTATCAAAATTAAAGAAAAGGAAAAAAATAGTAGTTACTCACGGTGTAACTTAATTGAGCAATACATTATTTTAACCGAGGTTGATTATTTGAACGTATCATAGACCATTTTACAGTTAACGGCGAAAACGAAGTTGGAGTTGACCAATACAACCCTCCCTGGTTTACTATGTAAATCCTGATGTTTTTATGATAACTAGGACTTTTTTTTTTTGCACAGTTTCCATGAGAAAAGGAAAGAGGTTTGTGTTAAAACAAGGTCAACCCCAGCCTCACGTTCACTCAAAGGCTAGGACACCAAGCCCACAAGTGTAAAATGGTTTATTTTCAATGCCACATTTCCATCCTTGGTCAAAAACAGTTGACACCAGCCATAAACATTTTAAATCAAAACTGATGTGCAACCCTTGCACATCAAAACGCAATCAACTTCTATGAGCTGTAGTTTGTTCTGTCAAGCTTCTCGTTGTCATAAAATATCATATATATGTCTAGAAATCCTGAAGTTTTTGACAGAACACTGAACGCCTCCAGGCGTCTAGTTTGTGTTGCTTTCTGTACCCTGTGAGCGACTGTGAGTAAGCTCTCTCGTTGCGTTAATATAACTGCCTAACTCATACTCGTAATGCCGCGTCTCCTGTTTGTCAAACACGAGAGAAAACTCGTCAAGTGTAATAATATTAGTCTACAGATGGAAGATGAAAATAAATAGGATATATTAGAAATATTTGAAATAGATAAAAGTTACCTTGACTGAATTCTTTCAGGTCAACGTAATCTAGGTCTGCACAGTCAACCACACTTCGGCGGGATTTTATTGTTTTGAATACCCAAGGCTGAATGCGGGTGGCACCGTCAAGGTTGTCGCACATGACTCTAGCCATAGTAACTTTTCTTATTTCATCCAGCTGTTTGAGCGTAAAGGCGGTCAAGTGGTCATCTCTCTCGTACCAAAAGCGATCACCAGAGCGGAACTTTCCCATCTGCTTTAGTATAAGATGGGTATTTACGGGTCCAAGCTGGCTTCCTGGTAAGGGGGTCTCTGCTATGCAGCCGGGAAATACATCAATATCTTTGACATCTTTGTATACTAACTTAAATCTTGCAATCTGCTCTGAAGAGAAACTATCCGAAATGTCATCAAAAGAATTAACAGCTCCCAATCCAAGCACTTCTCGATAATGGGCGTAACCTGGTAGGCCATGGTCCCGAGCACGCTGAATGTTGATGGCCATGAGATCGCCAAAGATATTGCCTTCAATGACGAGTCTCTCGCGTACAGCGTTCACAAAGATACTATAAAAGGAATGAGATTCTATTAGAGAAATCATCTTTCTAATACTAAGCGTCTACATTAAGGAAGGAGCAGTTGTTCACAAACAATGACTCTATCAAAAAAGTTACAAGGCCATCTGGGGACTAAAAATAATTTTGTACTTAAGTCCAATAGTCAGTTCAGTGCTTGCAGCTGATTTAACAAGAAAATTTGAACTTAAGAACGCGTTACTCGACTTTCCGATGCTTGGAACATCATTATCAAGAGTGTAAAGTTTCAAAGTTGTTAAAAGAGGTGTAGTTTGAATAAATAAGATTGCATTCGTGCGTGCTTCATTATTATGGGTGGATTCATTTGCAGCATACGGGTATATACATCGCATTTGCCCGTTTGAATTTTTTTTTGTTTTTGAGCTTAAAAAAAAAATTCCAGTGGGCAAATGGGACGGGTATACCGTCGTATGCTGCAAATAATCCACCCTATGTAAATGTATTTGATAGAAAAGCTTAGCGCGAATCGAATCCGATTCAATGTTCAGTGATGGTTTGAGTTTTTGTATAAATAGTATCTCGTAGACAAGGCTTTTGAATTCATTTCTGCATTTTTTGAGGACCGAAAAATTGTCCGTGAGGGTTGGCTTCTCGGCCCCATGTTCTTTCACGCATGATGTGCCTTCCGATCAACGAGCTGAGCTTGTGTGTTCGCTGATGCGTGGATGTAGGTGTCGATTAGTGAAACCGAGATAATCCATGTCACATGATAGACCACATTAGAATAATTTATGTGTGAACAGAAGCCCTATCCAGTATGGTTTTCGTGCCGACGCAAGAACTATAGATATAGTGTGAACACAGCGGTAGGCTATGTTCACACTATGAGGGAGTCATGTAGCGTTGTCATGAAAATTTAACCATATGAGGCTATTAAGATTGTACGACACAAAAGGGTATGATGGAGTATAAAAGAACACAACGTATGGGGGTTTGAACTTCATGCGAGCTGACTGTGAAGACCTTTGGCGAGAGAGGAAGCTATAACTGCATTCTTGGTTACATGGATCCGATATGCTTGGGTCAGGAAATGGACAGGGCAGTGCTGGTGTGTTGCTAGCGTGCTGCGTCAGTAAAAATACTACACTGCTGGAGTTAGAGTCCTAGGGACCTAAATCAGGCCCAGTCTAAATATCATTAAGGGTTAAAGAGCGCTATACTTACCGATCAGGAGTCTGAGCCACGAAAAATATCAGCCCGAACAAAATTCTTGTAAAGACGCTTTGTTCATTTTTGTTAAAAAACCTTTCTGGTCTAAAGAAGTCAACTGGCTCAGCAAAACGAATGTCTCTAGGCAGGGACCGATCAGATCCTCTAAATCGACTAAAGGTGCCGTCGGCTGATCTCAAATCAAAAACGGCGCGAATTAAACTGTGACCCATTCTCAGAGCGGATGTAGAGAAAACGTTGGTGCATTGCACATTCACTTCGGGGTCATATCCAGTGAAGAATTTTCCTTTAGGTTTTAAAAGAACACCAAATTGTTTTCTCTGAAAAAGAAATATAAAAACATTTTTAAAATGCGCTCTCTTGTATTAAATGCCGGGGCAAGGATGACGTAAATAATGTGTGTGCTTTCGCCGATCAGTTATCAGTTAAGTGGCCGTTTTTTTTCCAAGTATGGAGGCCCCCTTAGTTTAGACTTAGCTTAAAAAGAGTTAGAGCTCAACATACGTGCACGCTGGGCCAAGCGTTAGAACAGAAAGAAAGAAATAAAGGAATAAATGATTGCAAAGGTAGGAATCATGCAAAATTGTCACTTTGACAACATGACGCATTTATCAGTTCCTAAGTTGGAGCATTTTTAGCGAATCAGTAAAATACTAGACAAAGTGCAAATGTATTTCATTTTAAAGCGAAGTTAAAATTTCGGAACGAATTCCTCCGTGAGAGTTAAACTATTTAATTTTTTTTAAAATGATTTTAAAATTTACTGTTTTTGTTATTGTAACAAAAACTTATTCTCTGCACTGGTCAACATTTCTTTTTCTTGGCATTGAGCTGACAGTCACACAATGACTCTTTTTCAGTACGAACCCTTTTTCGAAGAACGGTTAAGGTAAAATTAAACTTAAAAACATCTCAAGAATATGACTAAGGCTGACATTCATAGCCAAAACGTTATTTTAAACAACATAGAGACTGAATTAAGAAAAATAAAAAATTAAACTTCAAAACTTCAAAATTTGAAATTTGTTTACCAGTTCTTTAGCCTCATCAAACTGTGGGTCTCCCAGGAAATTAATTGCGCATTACCCATCACGTATGCTTTTAGGGAAGTCAAATCTTAAACCACATTACGTTCTATCAGTTAAATTAATTAAATGTCTAACAATATTAGTGAAATGATTATCAACAGAAGAACAAGTTAGTTCAAGAGGCCGTAAGAGGATTCATCATCGGTGCGGATATAACGTACTTTGATAAAGTTCTTACCAATTCTTTACTGGGGAATAATACTGGAAGCCACTCATTATAGGTGATATGTTGAAGCTCTGCTATTACAATCTTACGCGCCTCTTGAAACAGTGTCTCGTCATCCGCGTAGGGACGGAGCAATTTAAGGTTTGTTGCAATACGGTTGTGCTCGCGAACCCACAAAGTGTGCATCGCCATAAGAGCTGCAATAAAATTACTCCACGGTTATTCCTTTATGCTGATTAAGAGACGAGTTTTGAATGAAAATTTAGAATTTGTTAGCTAATTACTATAATACTGTCCAGTTTCGTACCAGTTTGCATCTATCTATCATCTATCTACGTAGCGCGCCCACTTGCAATCATCCTCTAACAAATTTGTCAATAAGGTAATTAGACTTGTCAAATTAGTTTGTTTTTACGTTTGAATGCACCGGCTTTAATAGCATTCCTGTCCACATAGGCTTGCTTCCTTCGCCAATTTGTTTTTGTCCGCTTTTCTTAGGAGCCTGTTCGCAGGCTATATTCTAAGTGAGCGCCGTGAAATGCTACACGTACATGTCAGTCAAACCTTACTTGTTACAGTACAAATTGTACCTGAGGTATCGGGTTTCATCGATCAAAAATGGGTACTTTGATTTAAAGGTTATTTTAACTGTAGTTTAGCTATATCCCTTTTCCATTCTATCTTATCTCTTTCTTTAGTTTTCTTTTGTTTCATTCATTCATTCTTTCTCCCTTTATCTTTAATAAGTTAAGTGATTGTAAATTAATGAAATGAATAGAAAGATGACAAAACACACAAAACGAATAATGCGTCTTGGGCGGCACTTTCACTTATACTATTTTAAATAATACGACTCTGTTTTCTTTTGACTTGAATTTTGATTGGTGATTTGAAAGATTTTTAAAAAGAGAATGTCTTTTCTACCTTGATTTTCATTGACTCGAGCATCGCCAGCAATAAAGCAAGGTTTTTCTTCTGGATTGGGAGATCTACAGAAAGCTTCTTCACTAGCATCAGGAAGTCTTGGTAGGCCTCCAATGTTTCTCAGTGGCACCGTATCTAGAAGTCCATGGCCTTTGGGACTTCGAAGCTGTTTAGCTAATTCATCGCTTGATCCGTACACTTGTGACCCGTCAACATAAGCGGTGATAATATTTATCTGAAATAATAAAGACGTTATTGGTATAAGAGATAATATTTATTTCAAATGAAAAATAAAATTGACAATTATTAGACTAGGTTGAGTACTGAACATATTAATAAATTTAAATAAACTCATGGACTGGAAGCAATCTGCCATTTTAACGGAAGAGCGATTGCAAGGAGGAGAAAAGCGAGGTGTCATTTAACCTTAAGCAGAAGATTGTTTGTAGCCAAACACAGTTGGACGACATTTCGCATGAAAAGACCATTATTTGTTGGAGTTATTTGCAGGTCACATGGTGGGCTCTAGGCCAATGAAAAGGAAGAAAAATTTGCATCGAATGATAATAGTGTATGCCAACGAGTAAATAATGCTTTTCCATGGACTCTGAGTGTCATTCAAACCCTGGAGTCTTTTGTTAGTGTCATGTGACACTGCAGATGATTACCACGTTTTGGCTGGCCTTATTTGCAAGATTAAAGTGGGAGCTACTGGTTTCGATGCGTCTCTTTCAACACCTTGAAGATGTTCGCGGAAACGGCAGCCTAGTCTGGCCTGTTTCGATTATGCATAACTTTTACTGACAACGTTTAGTCCTACTCTCACTCAAAACCTAGTATGTGTCCTATTCTTAAGGGTTCTCGCGTCTGGAAAACTTTCCTACTCTGGGAAATCCACAGACAGCCCAAACTCAGTATGAGAGTTTAATCATTAACATGCTTCATGTGTGCTGATGCGAATTTAGCAATTTTTTATTTCTTCCATCCCTGTGTTTCTCCTCCTAAAATCGGATCAGATCGGGAAAAAAATCACACAGGAAGCAAACAATAACTAACTTAATAAAGTTAAGCATTTTTTTGTTGGAAACTCCAGCGAGTATTGATCTTCTTGAATCTCTTACCTTATTTCCATTTAAGCACTTTAAGTTCACGACCGTTTTGAAGATTACGCAATAGGATACCAAACGTATTAATGATTTAACTCTCATACTGAGCTTGGGCTGCCTGTGGGAAACCATATGAAATAGACGCTACTCTGTGTATCACTGGACATTTATGAAAAAGTTAAATACTCCACTAACCTGGTTACCATCTGGGTCTCTCACAGACCTGGGAAGAGGAATGCATTGTACAGAGTCGTTAAATAACAGTTCTAAACCATTCGGGATTTTTATGTTAACACATTCAGGAATGGGTTGGCATGGTGCATTGTTTATCCCACAATCTAAGCCTTCAGGCAGCTCTGTTAAGGTGACGTCGTGATCTAGGAATTGTCCCCAGGTCATTGTCAGGTGGGTAAAATTCACAATAGTGCCATTGATAGTCGCAGTATCGTTGTTCTCCAAAGCTTCAACGCTAATTTTTCTGGGATCTGTAAGTGGCTTAAAATCAACTCCCAAACTTCGTGGTGCTTGAACACCGACAGGTCCTTCATAGTCGGGTGGCAGTAAACGCTCCAGAGGTTGTTCCGCGGATCCCAGAGTTATGTTGCACAGATTGTTGCATGTGCCGTCAAATGTGCGGTACTTGCGTTGTAGGCATGCTAAAGCCGTTTTAAGGGGTGTTTCGCAGTTTGCTCTATTCTTCAGTATCTTCAAAACCAGTTTGGCTGCTGCTTCAGAAGACGATGCTTGGCGTACTTCATAAATGCCAACAATAACAGCAATGCATAGGAGAATGCTGAAATGGAAACAAAGAGACCGGAAATCTAAAATTAACCTAAGATACCTAAATCCCGCAGAACACCTGCATTCTCCCAAGTTAGCCTAAACAGGTTCTTTGGTAAATGGTAATTTGTACAAAGTTAGGCTATTTAAGTTCTTAAATAGGTTCTTATTTTCTGAAGAAAAATATATTGTAGTAGTATTCAGTTCATTCCTCGGGTAAAACCTGTATACAATTACAATTGCTATTGGAACCGCGAATAAGGCACTAATGTGTCCAAAGAGGATCCTTAATGTCGACTTACACTCTTATTATTTTCCCACGTGTACAGAATTTTTTTCATAGACTTTAGAAAATAAGAACCTGTTTCACATTTTAGGCTAAACAGGTCCTTGTATAGAGAGGGCCCAATTGGAAAATTTTAGCCTAACAGGTTCTTAACAACCAGTTTCTTAGTCGCTGGGTTTTGTTGTATTTAGATATGGTTTATAGCATTTTTAGGGATTCTTGTTTGTTTGATGGATCAGGACTACCACACTTTTTTACTTGAAGCTTTTAGCTTTCAGGGTAAAAACGCTCACTTTTTACAAGTTTAAATTCCGAGTTTGTATTAAAGCCACTTCATTTTTTCAAAACACCTGGTTTGGATGGCTCTGAATAAGCCCTTTACGGATAGTCATTCACGTGGTACAAAACAGCCATGCTGGAGAGCAAGGGACGCACTGGGGTGAGACAAACAAAGCAAGTTACCATTTTACATGGCCGGGGCGCCTTCCATTCAACCAAAACTTTCGAAAATTTGGAAACAGCGGCAATGGTACAGAAATTTCCGGAAAAGTTTCCAGAAATTCTGGAAACTGTTGAATTTCCGAAATGCGAACCATTTAACCGAAAATTCTGGAAATTCTGGGAGCAAAGTTGAATGGAAAGGAAACTCCCGGGAAAAGGCATTTTCGAAAATTTGGGTATACCTCGCGAGGTTTTCCTCTGGTTTGGAAATTTTGGAAAGTGCTGTTCCATTCGCTACTGGAAGTTGCCAAAAATTACAACCGGACGTTTTGGTTGAATGGAAAGGGCCCATGATGTACATGTACCCATAGCTGTTTTGTACCATGACTAACTGCAAAGGGCCTATTAACTCGCACCAATACAATTTAACTTTGTGAATAGTTGAACTTGGGTATGCTGATTACACTTTGGCAATAATTGAAAACGTAACTGTGACTGGGAGTCAAAAAGTAACGTAAAAGCAGTCAAGAATAAACTCAGCAAAAGGTTCCAGGAGAAAGACTTGTAGACAGTCATTGGTGCAATTTCAAAAATACTGATCTTTTTCAGTTCCATTCTCAAGTGTCAGTTTTAAATAACAAAACAAAATTACGTTAATTAAGGTTAAGGTCTCTGAACTGTTGATGTACCAATTTAGGTGGGCAATGAAATTTACCATTTTCACATAGACCATAANACCGAAAATTCTGGAAATTCTGGGAGCAAAGTTGAATGGAAAGGAAACTCCCGGGAAAAGGCATTTTCGAAAATTTGGGTATACCTCGCGAGGTTTTCCTCTGGTTTGGAAATTTTGGAAAGTGCTGTTCCATTCGCTACTGGAAGTTGCCAAAAATTACAACCGGACGTTTTGGTTGAATGGAAAGGGCCCATGATGTACATGTACCCATAGCTGTTTTGTACCATGACTAACTGCAAAGGGCCTATTAACTCGCACCAATGCAATTTAACTTTGTGAATAGTTGAACTTGGGTATGCTGATTACACTTTGGCAATAATTGAAAACGTAACTGTGACTGGGAGTCAAAAAGTAACGTAAAAGCAGTCAAGAATAAACTCAGCAAAAGGTTCCAGGAGAAAGACTTGTAGACAGTCATTGGTGCAATTTCAAAAATACTGATCTTTTTCAGTTCCATTCTCAAGTGTCAGTTTTAAATAACAAAACAAAATTACGTTAATTAAGGTTAAGGTCTCTGAACTGTTGATGTACCAATTTAGGTGGGCAATGAAATTTACCATTTTCACATAGACCATAACGCACCTTGTTTATCCCCAACATTTTGCATAACCATTGTCTTGGATTTCCTTGGGACGACTATTATACCCAGGAGAAATTGGAAACAAGAGTTATACAAAATTTTAGGGGGTAAACAAGGCGCATTATGGTCTTTGTGAAAGTAGTGAACTGATAAATTAGAATACAAGTCACACTCACGTAATAAGGAAACTGAAGGAACCGAGCTATGTGTCCGCATTATTAACAATTGATCGCACTTGTCTATAATTGGTTCTATTTATCAAATAGAATTTGGCCCACTTATGCCGAGTCTCTGTTTAGTGAAAGATCACAGGCAACTTCAAAATGTTGAAAATAGGAAAAAGTGGTACAGAGCCTCAGGCTTTACCGCCTGTAAATTAAGTGACAGAAAAATGTTAGGTTTTCGAAAGCAGAGAGTGACTGTCGGCCCCTGAGTAGTTAACTGTAGTTTCTTATATTTCTTCCCTGTTTTCCTAGGTGAAAGTAAAAACGGTAGCATAATACCTTGTTGCCTTCATTTTCTCTTTAATTGCTTCTGCCTTTCCGACTGTTGAGACAAGAAAATGGATATTTTGATGAATCAGTATTGCCTTGTAAAATAATGCTAAACTTATTTGCACTAAGCGGCATGCGCTGAATCAAATAATCTGGATCACTGAAATAATCTAAATAGAACCTATCAGGTCAAACAACATGGCAGGAATCAACCATTTGGTTACAATCATGGGCAAGGATTTAACCTCGCAGCGACCAAAATTAAAGTAAATCTAGCTCAATTGGTCATAGTGAACTGACCCTGAATCGCAGGACCACTGGAAAGCTAGTTTGACTCTCCGACTATTCAGCAACGATTTGTTGAGGGCAAACAGACTTAAAATATCTGTTAAATGCTTGAAGACAACCGAGGTCATGGGTAAATTGAAGGCGTGAACACAACTATACAAGATAAAACCTAACAAAGCTTAAAAAAGATTCTTTTTCAGACAACCTACTCGTACGAGCGAAAAAGAGAATATCCTAATTCAGTTCAGCTTTCATCATTGACTTAAGAAACTAAACACCTTAAAGTATTCTTGAAAAGAGACAACAACATCGAATACAACAATCTTTCTTCGTAAACGTTGACTCATTGAATAAAACATTTGCACAATGCCTTCGTAAAAAGAGTAACGATTGTCTAGACTTAGATCAAGGACTATGCTTAAGAGCAGTATTTAACTAAAAGCTGTTCAACTTATTTACCAACAATGATGAATATAATGTAAGAGAAAACTTTCTGAATAAGTACCTTATCGAAGCTTTAGTAGAGAAACAAAGATACTGCAGTCTAAGAATCCTTTGACTTGAGGCCTCGGTATCTTTTCTAGTGAGCTTGCTGCTCGCAGTGAACTTATCTGAGCAACTTTCTTCCTTTTATATCATTTTTATCTGACTTCCTCTTGTTAAGGGGGAGGGGCGAGGTCTCTCGGTGTTGAATCACCTGAAAAGCAATATTACAAAGGGTCTTCTTACCGCTTAAGCTTACATCTTTACTTACGTGAACTGAGTGCTATTTTCAGGTATACCTCCGGAAACAGTAGAGGACTGTTAAAAGCAATATTTTGTTTATTCATTTGTTTTGTGACGAAAGAGGGATATTAATGATCCTTAATCTTTTTTGTCTTTTCAAACAAACTCATTAGCCAATTGATATCTGCTGACACGCTCTTTTTTGACGGCGATTACTGACGTATGTATTTTATTAACGAGACGATTTAACTTCTGTTTGCCGTCTCACTTTTGCTAATTCGTTTGTCGACTTCGTCTTTATAACACCGCGTGCAAAAGGCTCTTTGTTTGGGATATTAGTACGAGGATTTGATATAAAGAATACGGAGTTCAATCATTGGAGGCGACACAATTGAGGAAATAATGTTTAACGTATTAATTATCTTAACGAGTTTGACGTTTTAAGACACAATTCTATTGTCCCTTTAAACTTTGGCGCAACTGACGTTGACACTCCGGCAGAGGGGTAAGACGAACGTTAATATCTGAGTCGTTGTTGACTCATTCAGTACCTCAAAAAATTAAGTTAAGAATTTAACGGGATACATTTATTTATTCACCTTAGTAATATGTCATGTCAGTAACTGTGCTCACATTGTGGGTGGTTAATCTTAAAATGTTCTGCAGTCGGTAAGTCAATGGAGCGGGAAACCAGTATTTAATTGCACGCATTCTAGACATCCTATTAATATGAACGGGTTACGACAATTATAGCAGGGGCAGTCGAACGACCGAATGATTCCAAATGCGTCAGAGGTGTCACAAATAGAGATTACTTCATGGTTGGTGAGTGCGTACGATTTTTATTCACAACAAGTGAATAAAAATCGTACAAGCGAACCAACCATGAAGTTGTTTGTTTATTTTATAAGTACTGAGATTTCTTTCAAACAATAATGACAATTAACAGCGATAAGACAATGAAATGAGTTTTATTTCAGTCATACGCTCTTTAAAAATTCAACATCTTTTCAAAATTTCTAGACAATGAAATGAGTTTTATTCACTCGAAAGCGTAAAAACTTCAAC